GCAGCTCCACTCATTCCCCTAATAGGAACTGATAAGGAACAGAGAATCCTTGAGAAATGGCACACAAAGGAAAAAAAAATGCAACTTACTGGATTCTGTAAAGTTGAACGTCCCCTGACAGTAAATGACTTCCATATTCTTGCTCTTCTGCTCCAATTCTTCATTATCTTCCATTCAGTTTTCTGGTGTTGCCAGGCAGAACTCCTGTGGAATGGCTGTGGGAAAGCAAAGGGGAGATTTAGAGTCAGGATGTGACCAGGGGACTGTGGTGCCCTTCTCTCCAGGGAACTCCCAGGGCCTTGGTGTTTCACCTCTTCAGTGAAAAAGTGGACCTTTGACCTCCAACATCCTGTTGCCACCCTCAACTTGCCTATGTGTGACCAAGAATGAGGCTGTGCCAATCTGTTCCTCCTCCAGGTGGTCACTGTCTCCATGCATCTCTGCCCACAACCTTCCTTGCCTCCTTCTCCTGCTGCTTCTTCTCTAATTGCTTCCTTATTTCTCTCCTCTAGTCACTGTTACTTTACTTCCTCCTTCAACCTCTAGCAACCCTAGAGTTTGCAATGTGGACACATTAGAAGGAGGAACATCGGTGTATGGCCACTGTCTCCAATCAGTCCATTACTCAATTAACCAATACATTTCTCCAAGGGAGGAGCTGGCATGGACTTGAGAGTGTGTTGAGCCCTGGGGGAGGGAAGGACAAAAATTCCACATAACAGAGACTCTCCCGTTGCCTGGGGTGACCTGAGTTACCTGGGAGATGCTTAATGCTCACAGCAACACCTCAAGTTTCACAGACCCTTAGAAAGGATAGAGGCAAACACTTCCAATTTCATTTAGCCAGAATAATGTGACAAGGGTCCTCCATAAACATGTGGTAGCTGCCGGGTTTGCACTGAGACTTGGAAAATTGGCAGGGATGAGACTTGGGAAGGTGTAAGGAAAGGAGAGAGGATGGGGCAGGCCTGGGTTGGGGAGAAGGGGCAAGACTGTCTGGATGCAGCAGTGGGTTCTGAGAGTAGCAGTGACCCCAGGACCTGCTGCCCTGGGAATGCCCAATCCTAGGAGACCAGGTCAGCAGGGCTGTGAAAGCAAGTGTGTGAAGAAGCCCAGTGGGCCCTTCACAGACTCTAGAATCTGCAGATGTGGAGGGTCTCCAGGAGCAGCAGGACATGGACCTCTCACCCGGAAGCACCTTCAGCACATCAGCCTTGGCTGCTGCAGAGGCTGTGAAGAGCCCCAGGAGACCGGGCCCGGGCAGGGACCCCAGAGCCTGTGTGCTGTGACTCATCCACCCCCGGCAGCGCCCTTTACACGAGGAATTAACAGTGAGGACAAACATGAGGGGAAGTCACAAGTCCTGAAAGTGCAGGAGGAGAGAGTTCACATCGCACCCACCACCTCACAGGCACTGCAAGGACGTGGTCTCCAGTGTCAACTGACAATGAGAGTTTTGTGCCCACTAGGATATGGTCCTCATAGTTCAACATGCAACAGAAAACAGCCTGCAGTGCACAATACCCGAGATGTGCTGACCAGAGACCAGGTTTCCATATTAGTAAAAAAGCAGAAACGAGCAGCTCTTATAGGAAAAATGATTTTTGAAGAGTAAAGCAACAAAAGCTGATTAGAAATAGAGCACAATGCAAGTCCAGGACACAATTTCTCTATCATATCATTTCATATGTAAAGAATAAGTCAGAATTCTATACACATTTCCTTCTTCTTAATTTCAGGTTCACTTTTCTTAGCCACCAAACAGAGAGTTTAACTCTGGGGTTAACAGAGGGTTTAACTTCCAGAACCCTCTCCCATCAGATCCCAATGGAATCTTGTTAGCTACCTGTCTCCCCTTTCTCATCACTGCACCAAATGCCCTCCACAGTGCACTCCATGAGCAAAAAGGTGGTTAGAATGAGCAACCCACCCACATATCCTCCAGTTGATGCCTGCTGGATCTCACGGCATCACCTTGACCTTTTTCCCAAGGTCCTGAAGAGACACCCCACTGTGGATAGCAGATGGCAGTCATCTGTGCTCTGTGTAGTCACAGTCATTCAGTAAGTCACTGATATCAGTTGCAAACCTAAAGATGCTGAAAAAGTCAATTCTCAACCTCTCACTTCTACATGTCCACTAGAGCTCTCACCTTCATGCTAACCATCCTGAAATCACAAGTGTTTTGACACATGTATAACATGCCTTTAGGTAAATTATAGCAGTCACAACTCGCTAGTGCCTACCAACTATAATACACAAAAGCCACTATATATGTTTATATATGTGTGCGGATAACTCATGCAGTCGATTTCAGCACTTTGTGAGCCCATGGACTAGCCTGCCAGGGCCGTCTGTCATGGAATTCTCCAGGCAAGAGTACTGAAGTGGTTAGTCACTTACTTCTTCAGGGGATCCTCCTGACTCAGGGTTCTAACCCAGGTCTTCTGGATTGCAGGTGAATTCTTTATTGTCTGAGTCACCAGGAAAGACTGAATGAATCTTCAGATCATCACCACGAGTCCTGCCGATTCAGACACATGACGGCAGAACAGGAACTTTGGTACAAGTGAAGGTGTTTCCCAGGTGGCTTAGTGGTAAAGAATTTGCCTGCCAGTGCAGGAGACGTGGGTTCAATCTCTGGGTTGGGAAGATACTTTGGAGGAGGAAATGACAATCCAGTTCAATATTCTTGCCTGGAAAATAGCATGGACAGAGGAGCCTGGTGGGATATAGTCCATGGGGTCACAAACAGTGGGGTCATAACTAAGTGACTGAGTATGCATGGATATATACAGGGTGTTAACACCCCTCTCTTGTTATTTCCTTTGTGTTTTCTGGCCATTTCAAGATGACTGTTTGCTGTTAAATTAACAAAGAAAAGACCTCTGACGCATGAGAGCATTTAGCCTGAGGGGCTAAGAGAGATGTGGCCCTTTTCTGGTTTCCATGGTAATCAATGGGCCAATCTGCTGTTCATTCCCACTGTAACTGGTAGACCTTATCCCCTCAGAGTAAAGAAAACTATAGCTGCTGTCTTCTGCCTGTCCCCTGCTATCCACAGTGGGTGTCTCTCTGAGAGGGTAACAGGCAGAAAGGCCAGGGGTCTCCAAACAGAGGAAATAGGCTTCAAGTGTCAGACATTTTTATCTCTCTCTTAAGCGGCAGGAATGATGCTTTTTTTTCCCCCCCTTTTCTATACAAATTTAAAAGGAGATTTCTCTTAAAATACTGTGTTGCCATAATGACACCTGGTTCCACCTGAAGTTAACTATTCTCAAACCTTGAGTTAACCACTGCACTCTTCTTATGGAAATGTTTGTCTTAAGCTATGTTAATGTGCTATGCCTTTACCCCAAACTCTGTCTTGAAGTCCATTCCGCCTAATGGTTCAGAACCTACTTGACAAACCATTATGTTATATTCAGACATTGTTCCCCTAATCTATGTAAATGAAACTATTTGTATGGTAATCTGCCTGTCTACAGGATTCAAGTCAATCATTTTATGGCCTGGGATGACTCTTCCGGTGCCAAGATTATCCCAAAATACATCTTATGGATGAGGGGCCTGGTGCCATTCTGAGTTTTAAGACATTCCTTTCTTTCTTTTCTTTTCTTTCTTTTTTTTTTTAAGAGGCTTTTCAGGGCAAAATTTAATAGTACGAAGAGGTTTACAAAAATAGATTGATACTATTTTGGGAAATAATACTGTAATGTTTTCTCAATTCAGTTTTGATAAATTGTACCTGAGTATACAAAAATTATTTCAAATTCAAACTTGACTATATAAAAAAGGGAGAGATGAAATGAATTCAGCTAGATGACAGATCTGGCAAAATATAAGAATGAAAACAATTCTGCCTAGGGCACTTATTTCATGTCCAGATGTAAACACCACTTTCAGTTGATAACTTACATTCCTCCCATCACAGGTTTGGAGTCGATCATGCAGTACAGAGCCACACAGTCAAAACCTCTGTTTTGACGCAACACAAAAAAGTTGTTTCTGTTTCCTTAAACTGCCAACTGGCTGTCTATTTTTCTTTATCCCATTTATTTGTATTCACAAGTTAACAAGTAGCATCAATAAGTATTGTAGGTGAAGTGGGGTATTGCTGGATGAAAGGCTCTATAAGACGTCTTTACTGATCGAATCAGAAGGTTTATTGAGTTCAACCCTCACACCTTTTTCACCTGTTAGATATTTTACTTTAGCTCACGCTCTCTCATCTGCATCAAAATACCAAACAGTTATTGCGTACCTTGTAGCATATGCTGGTTGTACTTCATGAGGGTTGCGACGGTCAGACCAGAAAAACAGCAGTCTATCAAATTTGGGTTCAATGTCAGCAAACTGGGCTTTGCCTTCTGGAAAAATTCGAAGTATACCTCCACTTACCTTGGCATCCCAGTCTTTATTAAGATAATATATACATGTCACACATCTTCCATCTCCATTTGGATTATCGACATGACGTACGTAACCTGTTCCATTGCCAGGAGAGCAAGCAACCATGGCTTTCGTCCGGCCATTGATTTTGTAGTTGCCCAGCTTCCCGTTACAGTGGCGGATCAGGTCGTCCATGTTGTTCATGAGCAGCCCGATGGTTTCGCAGCCGGGCTCCTTGCCCTTGATCCAGGTGTTCTTATCGCCTCGGATGTCCTTGGACGAGTCGCTCTTCTGGCTGACCAGCTGCCCGTCCGTGAACTTGCCCGTGTCGTGCAGGGCGCGCACCTCGTCGCCGATCTGCTGGCCGCTCTCCTTGCCCAGGAAGTTGTCCACCACGCAGATGCCGTGCTTGTTCATACAGGGCACGATGTACTCCAGCGCCAGCTTCAGTGCCGGCATCGGCTTCGTCTGCCCGTTGGGCCGCAGGCCGCCGTGGTTCAGCCCCTCGCCCGGCGCGTTACTCAGCGGGTACAGGTTCGCCTTCTCCTGGTACAGCGACGGGCGGGCCAGCAGCTCCTCCTTCGCGGACTCCGCCTCGGCGGGCGCCGCTACCCAACCCTGGCTGCCGGGGGCCGCGCGGGGCGGGGACGCGGCTGCCGCGGGGTCGGCCGTAGGCTTGGCCTTCGCCTTCGCCGTGGCTGCGTCTCCGGAGGCCCGCGGACCCGCGGCCTCGACGGCTCGGTCCCAGAGCGGCGCCGCCTTCCTGGCCTCCCTGGCTCCGGCGGCCCTGGGCAGCGGCGCGCGGCCCGGCTTAACGGTTGGCCCGTGCCGGGGGCAGGAACCTTCTCGCCGACCTGGCACACGAGCTTGTGCTTCTTCCAGTCCTGGCGCTGATGCTCCTTGCTGCAGTAGAAGGAGCTGCGGCAGCGGCTACAGCGCAGCAGGTTCTCCATCTTCCCGCACAGCTCGCAGTACTGCCGGTCTCGCTCGCTCGGGCTCGGCCCACCGGGCCCTCCGCTGTCATTGGCCATGGCGGCGGGGGTGGAGGCGGCGGCCGAGCAGGAGGGGTGGCGGCCGGACGGCCTAGCCTCGGGCCGGGGAGCGGGCGGAGCGGCAGGGGCCGTCACTGCGCCATGCGCCCGCCGCCCCTCGCCTCAGGAGACCGGCGCCCCGCGCCCTCGGCCCGGCCGCGTCCTCGTCCTTCGGTCGCTCCGCGCAGCGCCGGCCGCCGCCTCAGCGCCTCATCACCGCCGCGGGCTGAGGGAGCGCGGCCTGCGCGGCGGACGGCGCCCTCCGCTCGGGCACGCGGGCCCGGCGCGCGAGACCCGCCGCCTTGGCCGCCGCCGCCTCAGCGTTCCGGGCGGCCGGCTCGGCCGGCAGAGCAGTGCAGGGCGTGTGGGCGCCACTCGCTCTGCGCGCTCTGCACGTACACCCTCCTTTCTTTCTTAACAAACTGCTAGTGACTATATAACATCCAGCTAAAGACTAACAGGGGGGCACTCTTTCTGCCCCCTTCTGATGCCTATGTCAGAAACTTTCTCTATCTCCTTTATACTTTAATTAAACTTTATTACACAAAAGCTCTGAGGGATCAAGCCTCGTCTCTGGCCCTGGATTGAATTCTTCTCCTCCGGAGGCCAAGAATCTCGGAGTCTTTTTGTGGTTCAGCAACAACCTTTCATCTCCAGGACCCATTTACTTCAGATATGTAAGATGTCCCATCTATTAACCCTTTGATATCTCTGTCAACTCTGGAGTCTTTTTTTGGTCTCAAGTCCAGGCAAAGTACAGCACTTGCAGGCCTGCAAAATGTAGCCCAACAGCTTCTGCAGAGTATTTGGCTGGCCTGATTTGATGATTCATTTTTGTAGGTATTTCCTGGGCTTGTGAATACAACCCACGTACTCAGGAGCCTTTGGGACACTGAAACAGCAATGCCAATACCTAGATCTTAGAGGATTTCCCAGCAGGTGTTCCACTTGAGGGGACAGGTGTGGACACAGGGCCCAGGGCAATTGTGCTGAACATCATCAGAGAAGAGGTGAGGACGGAGGGAGGGACACTGCATCTCCTCACCAGCCCATACCTCCACCACTGACTCTGAGATCAGGGAGGGAGGGACACAGGGTCTTCAGAGAGAAACGACCAGCACACTGAACACTACACACCCCACTGAGAGAATGAACTAAGCCACGAGGAATTGAACTGACAGATCATGCTCATAGACTGGAGACTTGGTACTGTTGACATTTCTATAGTACCCAAAGCTAAGTAAAAATTCATTGCAACACCAATCAAAATATTAACATCATTTTCATAGAAATGGGAAAAACAAATCCAAAGATATATATGGAACTGCTAAGGACTCCACACAGACAAAATAACCTTGAAAACAAAGATCAAAATATCTCACCTCCTGATTTCAAAACACATTACAAAGATATAGGAATCAAACCTGTATGATACTGACATAGAAATAGATACATAGCCCTAAAGACCAGAATACAGAGCTCCAAGAAAAGTCACGGATACATGGTCAAATGAAATTCATCAAGGTTCTAAGACAATGGAATAGGAAAAGGGTAGTCTCTTCAATAAATCAGTACGATGAAAAGATAACCTAGAGAAAAATTACAAGCAATGTATCAGATAAGGAGCTCATCCTCAAAATTCATAAGAAAATACCACAGCTCAAATGCAAAACAAAAAAATATTAAAAAGAGTACATAAGGGAGTTGAGGAATGTGCAAACATTTAAACAGACATTTCGGGAACAAGACAGACAAATGACTAGCATACAAAGGAAAAGGTTTTCAACCTCACTAATCATCAGGGCAAAGTAAATCAACACCTCATGCCTGTTAGTTTGTATATTATAAAGGCAAAGAATTAACAGGTTAAGGCCATGATGTGGGGAGCTAGAACCTTTGTACACTGCTGGTGGGAATGTAAATTGTGTGGCTATGTTGTGGAAAACAGTAAAAGTTTCCTTATAAATGTATGAAAGGAGTAGCATATGATTCAGCAAACACAGTTCTGGATATATATACAAAGGAAATTAAATCAGTATCACAAAGAGATATCTGCAGTCCTAAATTCACTGCATCACTTTCCACAACAGCCTAGATACACAACCATCTTCAGGTAACAAGTATTCTGTGCCTGAGCTAACTTTAGATAACTGGGAGAAACTTGGTGCTCAAAATAACTGCTTAAGTCTCTTAGCCCCTTGGGGAGGATGAACACAATATTATAATTAAAGTAACATGTCCAAAGTGTCTTAGTATGAAGTGATGCCACAAAGGTTTTACAGATAGGGAAGCCTCATATACACACAGCCCCAGTCAGGGTTTACCCCAATCTTGGAAAGACTGGGAGGAATCAAACCTGGGAAAGTTTGAGTAAAGGTAACAGGGTGGGCAGGACTGGGGTGTGCGGAGCAGGGGCAGGGCTGTCTAGATGGAGCATTGGGTTCTACGTGGAACAGTGATCCTGGGTCCCGCTGCTCTGAGTCTCTGACCTGCGTCTGGTCAGACCCAGGAGGCCAGGTCAGCAGGGCTGTGAGAGCCAGTGTGTTAGGAAAGCCAGCGGCTCCCTCACATTGTCAAGTGTCTGAGGGCTTGCTGGTCTCCAGGGGCAACTGGGCATGGACCGCTCTCACGTGAAGGCGCCTTCAGCACAGCATCCTTGGGCTGGAAGCTGAGATGAGCTCCAGGAGACTCAGTCCAGTCTGGGACGCCAGAGCCTGTGTGTGTTGACTTATCCAACCCCGAGAACACCCTTTACATGAGCAATAAACAATGAAGACAGACGTGAGGGCAATCTACGAGTCCTGAAAATGCAGAGGTAGCAAGTTCATATCTCACCCAGAACCTGACACTCACTGCAAGAACTTGGCCTGCAGTGTCAAGTAACTATTAGGCTTTTGGTCCCATTAGGATGTGGCCATCACAGGAGAATTTAAACAGGCCCGAAGTCCCTTGTATGTGAGACTCTGAAGGCACCAACCATAAGCCATTCTCTCGTGTTTGTCAATGAAAGGACAGAGAAAGAGGAGTCTTGTGAGAAAGGACACTTCTAAACGTGAAAGCAAGAAGAGATGTCTCTAACAAGAGACGACTACAGGCGCAGCACAACAAAGCACATGCACACACAGTTTATTATTTCATTAAAATACGAGGAGCAAATCACAAGCTTACACATACTCCCTTCTTCTTCAGTTTATATTCACCTTCTTTTATCTCCCAAGTGGTCCAGAAACTCTCTCCCTCCAATTTAAATCCTCAGTTCATATTCACCTGTTTCATCTCCAAAGAAGCAGGTATAACCTGAGTGGTTCAGGAACCCTCTCCCTCTAAATCCTCCTCTCCCTGAGACCTGTGTCCTATCTAATTCTCTTCTACATCACTGCTGCTAAGACTCTCTAGCATACATTTCTGTAGAAAGACAACCATGAGCAATAATACAGTTATTATACAAGTTAACCCTTCCATCTTTCCTCCTTCTCTTGGCTCACAAAGCATCTCCCTGGTCTTCCCTCCAGGTTCACAGACCTTCCCTGTGCTTGGCGGAGTCAGAGCCTTTCAACAAGATGTTGATCACAGTTGCAAAATTTCACATGACATAGAGATCCTGAGAGAATCCCAACCTTACTTTTCCACATGCTCAATATAGCTCTTACATTGAAGCTTATGAAACTGAAATTCCAACATTTATGGACACACCTGAAATATCACTAGTGTGACCAAGTAATTCTGTGGTTTTTGTGGGGCTTTTTAAAAATATAACACATTAATTATTGTTTGAAGTATATTCGTTATAAATAGGCTGATCTGAGTAGTGGCTACTCCACTGGAACATTCAGCTCTAAGAGCTCCAATGATAAGGAAAAGACGCTGAGCTGCTGTTCAGGTTTTTCTTTACTGCAGAAGATTTGATGGTCTCATATGCTCAGTCATATGTAGGTATACCTGGGGCTCTTGGACACAGGCCAGGCATTGGGAGAGTGCCTGTGGACATTTCAATAGTAAAGTGAACACTCAGATTTAAAGAAAATTCCCAGAGGGGGCTCACTTGTAGGCAGAGGTGAAGGCATGGCCCTGCACACCTGTACTACAAGTAACCAGAGGGTAGGCACAGAGGGGAGAGAGGACATTCCCTCTCTTCATGAGCCTGTCTTTCCCATCCCTGACTCAGATGACTCAAACAAGGTAGTGCAAGAGGCTCATTAGGAAGTGCAAGATTTGGGCACTGAAAACCATTGTACACTGTTGAGAGAAAGAAGACACAAGTAAATGGAATGGCATAGCATATTCACAGACTGGAATATTTAGTGCTGTTGACCTTATACAACTAAAAGTGATGTACATATATATTGAAACCACTCACAAAATCTCATTTCAACTTTATACAAATGGGGAAAAAAAAACAAACCCAGAATACTAATACTTATGGAACCTAAAAGAAACTCAAAGAGAAAAAGTCTTGAGAGCAAAGAACAATGGGGCCTTAATGCTTCCTGAATTCAATCCACATAAGAATGCCACAACAGTCAAAACAGTGTTGTACCAGCAACAAAATAGGAAGGAAGAGACCAGTGAACCATAAAAAGGGAATTGCAAGTAAATTGACACATGTGTGGCCAAATGATCTTTGCCAAGGTTCTAAATTTAAAAAGTGAAGAAAGGAGAGTCTCAACAATCAACAACAAGCAACTATAGAATGAGAGGAAGTATCTTCAAAATGTGTATCTGAATAAGGGGCTTACATCCAGAATGTCAAAGAAACTACTACAACTCAACTTCAAAACAACAGCAGGCAAATAACTGAAATTTCAGTCAGTTCAGTTGTTCATTCATGCCTGACTCTTTGTGACCCCATGAATCGCAGCATGCCAGGCCTCCCTGTCCATCACCAACTCCTGGAGTTTACTCAAACTCTTGTCCATTGAGTC